GTATGGAACCAAGCGGTTTTATTTTTGATCATTTGCCTCCAGAAAATAATAATTAATATAAATTAGAGTAATATAAAATATGTGATCTTATTTTCAGCACGAAATTTTGTTTTGTTTTTGAGTTACGCAATTTTTTTTGTCAAAATTGCAATTTATGTGAATTTTTTTTTTTTAATTAAATATAAAGCAGATAGTTGTAATCCTTAGAGTATAGCTTTTATGAGAAAAATGATTTTATAGTGGGTTGCCATTTAAAAAAAAATAATTTTTTTGTAGAACTCAAAAACAAAAGAAAATTTCGAAAAATTTTATTCTTGTTAAATCATCACATTTTTATAGTACTTTATCACTCATCAATCAGTTTTTTTTTTAAATAAATAGTTTAAGCAAAAAACGTTTGGTTCCATACTTTTTATTCACCTGGTATGTATAAGTCCATCTCTCCCGTACTTACCCTATTTGATGTACATAAAATAAAAGCGAAAATAAGTCTCTGCTTTCGAAAGACAATCTTTTTACAAATTGTCGGTGCCACCATTGTTTTAGTTGGTATTTTTTTTACATTGAAATTATATATAACATAAAAAAATTGTCCTGTTACCATTTGTCAAACTCAAAATAACAATTCTGACAAGTACCGAATTTTTTTTTTAAAGCAGTACTATTTATTTATTTGTAAATAAATCTATAAAAAAAATAATTTAAATTTATTAGTAAATATCCAATTTTTTTAAATTTGTAATCGAGTTCGTGTCGGAATATGTATTATTGATTGCATCTTACAGGCGCAGGTCTCGTAAAATTATGTGAAACACCCTGTATGTAATTAAAAAAAATAAAAAAAACAAAATCTCCTGTGTGCGTGTCTATGATGTGTATAAGAGGTGACAAATAATAACTAAAACACAAAAAAATATTTAAAATTAGATTAAAAACAGAACAGCAAACACAAAGTGAAAGATAAAAGAATATCCTGACAATCCTACATTTAATAATTAAAAACCTGCCAGTTCATTATAATTCTTTTAATAACCGAGCGAATTTCTGGAAAGCCTTGTTATGCCCTTTACGAGCGGCGTTATTAATGGAACCCTTAGTTTAATCGCGTCGAATAAAGACGAGCCGCGATAATCGCTTGCAATAACCGATGGCAAAGTTATTTTTCTTCGTTCCGATTATGGAATAATTGAATACCGTATCACGGCAACAAGCCTAACAGGCTTCGTCACCCCCCGAATGCAGTGGCGCTACGTATGTGTAGGGCTAAGTGCGTTCATTAAATGCCGTTGGTGTATTTGCTTATTAAAATAGGCACCCCAATTTTAGGGGAGCTACTATTCATCATGAGAATGTAGCGTATGTGAGCGTCGCGATGCCCACAATGCACTTGCAATAGCCGCCCCAAGCCGGCCGTGGGGTGCACCGCATTCCCATATACTCTCGCCTATCCCCGAGGATTTTCCTCATATTGCGAAACATGTGGAAAAATACGCATGATTAAGCCTTCCACTTTTTATCTTGGGGTTTGTGCGTGTAGATTGCTTTGGGAGAGAGGAAAAAGTGGAAGTGAAATTGTAATTGCATTTTTAGAGCGAATTCGTAGAGTAGGATATTATGACCATCTATTATGGGCTGTTATTAGCAGGCATCAATTACGGACTCGATCGATGAAATCTTACATAATTTATGCCAGAAATTTTCAGATTAAATATTTCTAAGTTGATTTATAAAACCTCCATAAATAAATTGTTTATTGATTTGAAAAATAAATAAGTGCTAATTACTGGTTGTTATCCATTTTTTAGACATTACTAATAAATTACACATAAATAAGTACCTAGTTTTACTGGCGGCACTCATAATAAGTCTAAGTTACTGATTAAAATTAAAATTCTTGAATTGTACGTATAATATGAAGTTTTTTTAAATTTTTCGTCTAATGGAAACTTCATTTTTATAATTTAATATTTATAATTTTAACCATAATCTCCTACCAGCCCGACCTTAATCCAAAATTAATTTTATTATAATACAATTAATAAACTATTGAAGGAATATATTAGTCCATAAAATGTTATGTTATAAAAAAAGTTGAAATTGTCAATGACTGACAATTTAGGCCCCGGAGGGATTCGAACCCTCGATCTCCTGTTTACTAGACAGGCGCTTTAACCAACTAAGCCACGGCGCCGGTGAAATTTTGTTTTGATATCTWCATTTTCCTTGTAWCTCTCATTAKGCAAAATATATTTTTTAAAATARTGTAATAGTATGTCCTTCAATTAAAAACACCAASGGCCGCTGTTTACASTGTTTACAAAACATTTAAGTGCAATCACATTTTAATTTGAGATTATTTTAACGTTTGGCAATACAATGCAAKTGACAATCTAATTAAAATTAGTGGTTTATTATTGAWTTAAACTTTACATTGCTTTCTAAAAATCGAATCTAAAGCAATTTTGTTTGCTGCTTGTAGTTTTAATTTTTTTAGGATTGTAACAATACACTTGTTGTGTATTCCTGGTTGCCTATAATAAAATCCAATTTTAACAAAAACATTATGGTACTCCTATTATTATATTATTATTACATTATTGTATCTCAGTGGCGCAGCCAGAGATAGAGTGTAGGGGGACTTACATATGTAAAAAGTTTCGGGCATTTAAACGTCACTTCAAAAAAGACGATGTGGTACACTGGCGGACACGGAATAAACTGTTTTTTAAATAGCGGGTGTTTTTTTTAAATTTGGCGTCAAAGCTATCCATGAAAGTTGGTGCTCTTATCTTTAACATTTATTTAAATCATTAGTAATATTAATACTTAATTAATAAAAAAAATATTATAAAAACTTACCTTTTTTTAATTTATTTTAACTTACCTTTTGTTTACTTATACACTATTAACTTATTACACTACTATATTAACACTTTTGTAGATACATGTTTTAAAGTTCGCGCTCTTATACGTCCGCCATCTTTAAGTGCTTATTTAAGCTTAAGGATTATGCGCTTTGCCTCTTATACTTTCTTTCTTATTATTCTTTTTAGAACATGTGCTCATGTTTTAAAGTTCGCGCTCTTATTTATTTGAATTGTATTTGAATTTTTTTTTATTTGTGAAAAATTGTTAACTTGACCGGGGATCGAACCTGCTGGAAAGCGGGACCTTATGCCGCTGAGCCACCACGACACCCTACAGTCCTAATGTTTTAATTCAATATATTCATACAGACTTACAAAAAATTAAAAAAATATATTTCTTGCATTTTTACAACGTTTATGTACTTTTCTAAGTCTCTTAAACCAACAAGAGTGCAAATGGTTTAATTTGCAATTTTTTAGTTTTTTCGAATTTTGTCAAAATTTTGGACGATTTTCGATACCCGGAGCGGTTTATTGTTAGTAACTTTGAAAGTATTGACGCAAATCTTTTTTTTTTTGTTTGGTACCGTTGGAAAGCAAATTAAATTTTTTTAGCATATAGTAAAAAGATGATAGTTTTACGTTAAATAGTTATTGAGAGAATTGCTGATGTTTAAGGTGCAATATACAAAATAAAAAAAATAAAAATTTGTGAATCTTCTGAAGTTATGACAACATCGAAAATAATTGTATACAAAATTCGAACTCCCTCCTCGCTGCGCCACTGTTGTATATTAAATTAAATTAAATTAAATTTGTCTACTTCAAAGTATAATAATAATTAAAATTTTATTAATATGTATGTGAAGATATGTCATTATAACAAACATATATTTTGTAAATAGATAGTGTATTATTTAAAAAGATTGTAGAGAAAACGTCGTATATAATGGCTATTATTCACTCAGGTGATTAGAAAACTCGTCTACGAACTACGACTCGTTTTTTAAACTTCACCTTTATGAATAATAGCCATCATTATATGCTCGTTGAATAATATACTATTATAATAATATACCACTTGTCAACATGACAGATAATTAAAACTCATTGGTGGACGATACATACGATACAACTTGTGTAAAGCTTGCGTTATTAATGTGTTCGGTAATAAGTTTAATCGAAATAACGCAAGAAACGTTTTTTTGTAAGAAACTATGGAATTTAGAATTGTATTACCGAAGATGGCAAAAAACTTCAGCCAAAATAGTTAGGGTACTTTTTACCCTTGCAATTTTCAATTTAATTAAATAATTTTATACAGTGCGATCAAAAAGTCTGTCTATCAAGCAAGCGTAGAAATTTAAAACGTATGTCTGTGGAAGATAAAATGTCACATTGCCAAATGAAAAATGTCAAAATATTTTTTATGTAAATTATGACAGGAAACCGTGGTGAACGATTTTTTTGAATAAACACCAACAAGATCTCATTTTAGTTTGTTCTGAGACGTTTCATAGAATAATTCAATTTAATTAGATTAATGTTTTAATGTTTTAATTTATAAAATAATTTTTTGACATCTAGATAACATACGAACTCCATGCAACATACGTCATCAACTAGGACGCCTACTTGATAGAAAGACTTTTTGGTCGCACTGTATTATTATTAGATAAAAATATGTATTGTAATATAGTCGGTTTTGTGATGCTGAAGAATTGCTCAAGAGTGATAACCGAAAGTACCACCATTGACAGAAACGCAATTGTAAAGAGAGTCAGAATTATGTAATTGTGTTTGTATTTATAAACTAATAAACTCTTATAATAAGCTCGATTTAGAGTAATTTTTGTTTTTACTCACAACAGTCACCACACACCCTCTTTGCAATGGATTGTCGAGCGGCACACGAACTTCTATTCATTCTCAAAGTCTTCCCACACAGTTGCAGTTAAGCCGCTTCATTAAAAAGGATCTCAATCACTGTATAAGTGGTGGTACCGAAAGTACTACCCTGGGTGCCGCTCAGCTTCAGAAGAGAAGTTGATTTAAAATCGACTATTATCTGATGCGTAATCTTATCTTTAATGCTGGGCGCCGCACTTGACTATTATTTCGCTACATCGCGTCGCCACGTTACGTTCGAGTTTTTCGGCTTTCTTCATTTTCGTCCGTGTTGTTGTAACAACTAGTAAATAATATGTACCGTGCATTTTTCTAAATTCGTCTTCAGAAGTCAATGATGTAGTGATTTTAATATGTGCAAGTGAAATGTTAGTTTAATACATAAATCAAAGTGTTTTATTTCGGACATATAATTATGTATAGAATAATTCTACTTTTGTGGGTTCATGTTATTGCACAAGGATCTAGCGAGGTTACTTTAACGGAACCGGTACGTAATTTCGAAAGTCAAGGTGGGATTAAATAATAATGATTTAATGGGTGAATACTATATATAGTGAGACTACAGGATTGGTGTTTGAAGGGGGAGTGAGGTATTTGAAGATAACAGGTTGATAAAAGTGCTCAATAATGAACTACATTTGTAAAACCTGTTTGTGTACTTTGATGGATTGTTGGAATTTATGACTGTTTTTAATACATCAAATAATAATAATTWT